TTTTCAGTCGTAAACACCCCCCCCCCCCCCCCCCCCTTTTCTTCCAGTCAGGGTGTCCCACATTTCGCCAACAGGAAGGTGGTCACCCTAATCCAAAGGGAGAGCAGTCAGGAGGCAGAATGTCATACCCACTATTTCTTGGGCGTGCGCTAGGGCACAATTGGTCAAAACTCCAATGGGCCTACTGTGCAGTTGAAGTCTTGTGGCAGACGGAGAACAAGCAGTCCCACGCTGCTGCCGAGACACAAATCTGCCCTTCCTTCCTCCCCCCTTCCCCCCCCCCCCCCCCCTCGAGCCGCTGAAGAAGCTACACTTAAGAGTAAGGACGTTTAGCCGCCCGCTTGTCCGATTGCCAGTTATCAGAAGCTTTACCTGAACTTGCACTACAATCAAATGCCTTTATAACAAATGCCTCTACCACGAAAACGGCCGTTTAACGAAGTAAAATAAAGTCCCAGTTAATTTTCTATGCATTCAATGTGTTTCTCAGACTACTAATGAATTCCCGTATAACAAACATTTATGTTTAACGAAGCAATTATGTGGCCTTACAAAGCAAAAATGACCGGTATCACAAATTTTCTATGCGAAAAGTAGTCTAAGCTCGTTATAACAGGCCTTAATTTTGACCAAGATGTCGGTCTGTTGTAAAAGGAGTATGTCGTATGCCGATACGAAGTTGAGTCAATGGCACATAGTGGAAAACCAACCGAACCTCACAAATCGGTATGTTGTAACCAGGTGTGTTGTAATGAGCTCAGACTGTAATAGATTTGGCGTAAATTGTCGTTCTCAAGTGACGCGTGTAGAAAACAGAAATACTGCAACCGTCGCTGCGCCACCTCTGATGCACATTCTCGGCTTTGGGTCTAAAACATTTGTTAGTGTGCAAGCTTGCGTCTAGCTGACGCTATGTGACTGTGTTGCAGCATAGAAAGCCTGTATGCAGTGACATCTAGACACAAGGTTGCCTGTGCAAACAATGTATATAAAAAAGAAAAGTATTTTTATGAGTAGTCACAACTTTCTTTAGGCTGTCTTGGCATTTATTTGACCGATGTGCCAATTTTCACCAGTATCCAAGGTTCCTAATCTTGCTTGATCCGAGACTCAAATTGTTCCGCCTTGGAGCGATAATAACGCAGCTGCGGAAACGTGACCTGCGACTCTACCCGCAACGCCAAAATCTAAGTGAAATCGGTAGAACCGCACAGAAAAACGTGTACCCCTCTTTGTGCTGGACAGATGTGAAGGGCTCAGTCAGCTCGAGGGGGAATCTTTCGCCGTCCTCGCTGCACCACGTGGTGCAGCTGTCTGTGCCGAATGCACCGCCGATTTTTCCATGCTGCTACGGTAGTGCTGACACAGCTGCTGCACCTACACTTACGAAAGCAGCTTAGCCGCTTCGATAGCCTCTTCCGAATGACACGTGGCGGCAAAAGCTGCCGTCCGATTTTGAAGGGGCCAGATTTATACAGTCGACAGTCGGCGAACGCCTCTCATTTGATGCGTGAACGGGGGTCGATGTCAATGGTTTAATGCAGTGGTTCTCAAATGAAGGTCCACGGACCCTTTGGGGTCCGCGAAGCCAAGCCTCATCAGTAAAGCCTGGAAATAAAAGTCGTCTTTTCTCAGATTGAGAAGAAACGTTCGAATTTTCGGGAGCATTTCCTCGTGTATATGTCAACAAGAAAAGTTTACTTCACACTAGCCCTTAGTTATATCCATTTATTAAATCACTATCATAATTAACCTATACTTCCCCTTCCCCTCACCACAAACGGGGTCCTCCATCATCTCCGCTGATCAACAAGGGGTCCGCAAAACATCAATGGCTGAAAACCATTGGTTTAGTGATTCAGGGTGTCTAGCAAATTATTATTTTGAAATTTCCTGACTTTTTCAGGTTTTCCCTGATAATTTCAGGTGAAATTCCCTGACCATTAAGAGGATCATTTTGCACGGGCTTAATCCAACTTAGACATTCCAAAATATTCGGGTTCCTCCAATCCTGATTAAACGAGCACTTTCTTGCCGCTGACATCGTCAGTGAAGAGGCCACTCCGGGAAACATGATGAAACCATGGCGCTCAACCACACATGTCAATAACCGAATGACAGCATGGCAACATGGCCGCCGGATGCACACTTTTGGATACTTTCGACTTGGATTGGATTGGAGTTTGCAACTTTGACATTTGTTACTAAATCTAGTAGCTCTAACTGGATTTAGCTTAGTGTTGATCCTCAATACAATCCAATCCTAGGCTTGGACTGGATTTGTCGGCTGTTCCCTTTGCATTGGGTAGCACACTCTACATCGGGTGAGCAGAGCTCGCGCTCTGCTCTAAGCAGAATTTGTTGCCTATTTTTCTGCCCCCCAGTTTTCAAGCCTTTGCTCAGGGCACTCGATGGCGTTTTGGGCTCATTTTCCCTCACTGGGCTCGCTTTTTGAGAATATCCCTGACAATTCCCTGATTTTTCCCGTTAATTAAGACTTCCCTGACAATTCCCGGTCACTAGACACCCTGTGATTGTTGCTATTCATATTTTGATAAGTCAGTTAAGTTTGTTTTGTGGAACATCGGACAGTGGGAAATTAATCTGCAGCAAGAAGTGCCTGATGTTTCGGCTGTAGATGACAATCTTTGCCAGTGGCAGTAGTAAAACCTCGTTAATTCAACCCCCGCTAATTTGGAAATTCGGATAATTTGAACTGCCGACCCAATCCCTCCAAATGTGTGTATTAGTCAATGGCACCAAATGCTCCTTAATTCGAAAGCGGTATGGAGCGCTATCGTTAATTCGGACAAATTCGGCAGGTGGCGCAAGCTACCGCCCGTTGCAAAGGGCATGACTGCTATCCATCCAAGGTGCACACATGGTTTTTTCGGTTTTTCCCATGATCCTTTGCTCTTCCGGTTCTCTGTGTCTCGCACCAGTTTTGCTCTAGAATGCCGTGCGTCAGCGCGCTAGTCTCCTGGCATGTCGTCGTCACATGCAGCAACTGCAGCAACCTCCATGGCGGTGCCGCCCGCGAAAGGGCAGAAGTACCAGGCCAAGAATTTAGCGATGAAAGTAGAAGTACTGAGGGCCTTGAAGGACGGTGTCTCTCGTCAACCAAGCGATGGAAAGATATGACGACAAGATAAGCCCTTTAGCCACATACGTGAAAAATGAGGCCGAGATCCTACAGCCTTTCGAGAGCGAGAAGTTCAAAGAGAAATGGAAGCGGTTGCGGAAAGCAGCGCACTTGAAACTAGAAGAGGATTCGCTGCGGTGGATCGTCAGCGCCTGGAATGTGAATCGTGGTGGAGCACCTGACCACGCTAAGGAAAGTTGTCGTCCAGAAAGCAGAAGGCAATAACCGATTTCTTCTCAAAATAAAGGTATGTCACAGGCAGGGTTTTCCCCAGAAATTTCTGAGGGGTGGACGTTACCCAGGGGAGGGGGGGGAAGGGGGGTGGCGTCGTTACATCTGACACGCCGAGTGCCCGCACTCTTTGTTTAAAGCAGTGTGGCAGTGGCGGCAGTCAGCGATGCAATAGCGAACGATAACGTGGGGGTGCGCGGACCTACTGCCTACGACGGTCTGCAGCCATGTGCGCAGGCAAAATGGCATCGTCATCCCGCGGCATAAAAAAAGATGTAGTGGTGGGCAGTCTGTTGGAGCGGTGGGCACTCAGTCGAAGCGGTGGGCGGCAAAGTCACTGCCGCTCACGGTGGGCAGAACCCTGGTCACAGGGAAACGTTTTCATGCAGTTTTCCTTGTCCTTTCGATATTTCGACTTTCAGATGATTGGGACAGTTTTGCCGGTCCCACGAGATCCAAATTAGTGGTTTTACTCTACTGGCTGTACGACCACTTTAAATTGCGTCAAGCAGTGGTGAGTACACAGATGTGCAAAAGTACAATTATCACTTAGAAAAAAAACAGATAAGCGGCAATTGAGTTGATATGCCTGGATTTTTCAGTGCGAGCTTTCGCCCCCCATGCTAAGTGTTGCGCGGCATCAGTGGACTCAGCCACCGTCCCCCCTTTTGATAAGTCAATTGTCGACGTACAAAACCTCGTTTCTCATGTCGACCATACTACTGTAAGCCGCCCTCGTATATAACCCGCACACCCCACTTTGAAATGCAAGTCTGAAAAAAAAATTATGAAGGTGCTTAAAATAAAAGCTTCACAAGTCACCGAGGGCCTAGTCCCACAAAGTGCTACAAGAGGGCGCTCGCTAGTTCTTGCCATTCCCCGCACATTATCGTCCCCATCGTTGTGCGACACAACACTTCCGCTGCTTCTGTCTTCCGTTTTTCACGACGACTCGCCAGCATAATTTTGTCTTTGTTATCTGGTGTGCGGTTTGGAAGCAGATGCACTGCTTGTGGAGTTTCATGGGATACAGTAGTGGATGAGTAAACAAGAATTTTTTTTTTTTATTATTATTGTTTCTTAAGTCTGACCGGTGTATGACCTGCACCCAAGTGGAACTAAAAAAGAAAGAAGTGTGGCTTATACACGAGTATATATAGTATATTTGGCGCTATACCGTTTCCTAAAACACCTCAAATGTCACGCGGGTATGTGAATATGCAATAGCACAAATTCGGTTGCATGTTATAGATTTTTCGAGCTCAAATACAACAATTAAGTTACCTGTACTACGAAGAATTTTGCGGGTACCACGGATTCCGTTACAAAGGCGTTTGACTGTAAACGCTTTGTGCACTCCAGAAATGCAGAGACCCATCGACAGAGCAAAACAATATCCTCCAAGATTCCTGACACCGCATCGAAAGCTCAAGAAATAGCCTTGAACCGTAACCAACTGTGCCCGCTCGGCATCGGGCAACAGAATGGCGGTGCCCACAAAACAACAAAGAATCGGAGCGTTGGCACTCTCAGCGTAGCTTCCTTAGTGGCTCTAGTCCCGCGCAGAGGTTCGTTCGGTCCAGGCGTGGGAAAAACGGCCGGACGACGAGGCAAGGGGTGCACCCACCTCGGAGGAGGCCTTGGCCTTCTTCTTGGGGGCGGAGTCCTCGGCGCCACCGTTCACTTTGGAGAGGCTCCGCTTCTTGTCCTCTTTCTTGCCCTCCTTCTTGCGTTTCTCCTCAAACTCGGCAATCAGCTCAGGGCAGTCCAGGTTCTCCTGGGGCTCCCACGTGTTCTCGGCGCTGGAAGGGAGGGGCGGTCAGCTCGCCGGGCCACCGCTCACTAAGCCAACCCCTCTCCAACAATCGTACAAGGGCAGAGACGTCAAACTTTCAACCTCTTCAAACTCTCGATAATGTGTCCGGCATCGCCAGTCACGAAACACATGACGTAATAGTTTATTACCACATTACTAGTTTCCGTTTTGGTTGCCGGGATCTCGAGCAGACTAGGGCGGGTGAAGGGCAAAGAAGCCGACGGCAAATGCCCCTCAAAGGGATACGTATCACTCCGCCAGCCAATCGCTTCTCATTTTCGCGACGCCACGGCTCGAGAAAGGATCCATTTCAAGTTGGTAACAAGTGCGGTTCGAGCTTTTTACCTGCTCGGGATTACGACATAGTCGTGTCTGCTTTTGTCCGTGGTGGTTAGTGCGTGACAGTGCGAGGGTCCGACGGTCAGGTCGCCATTGGGCCTAGCAACACCAAGAGCATGGTCTTTGTCGGTACTGATGGCGTCTATTCATGAATTTGCTACTCGTCTCGACTCGTGTTAGGTCGCCAAACCGCAGCGGTACAAACTTTTTTTTTTGCAGTGGTTTTTATGAGTTAACATGAATGCTTCGGTCACCGACGTGCTGCCTCGCCGGACTCCACCTGCTTCTCTTCTGCTTTTTAGTAACTAAAGGATGCTTCAAAATGACGTCTTCAAGTAGTATTAATTCAACGGTAAAACGTGGTGCCCTTGCCAAATATTATCGTTGCGATCGGTTGCTCGGTAAATCAGGAAAGCGACGATTGTCTCGTCTTACTACAGTCTCGTACGAAGGCACCTTCTGTGAAAGTTACTATCGTGTTCTGCTGTAACCCAAGACGACACAAGCTAGAGCAGGATGGCACCAGCTCGCAACGATGCCGTCCCGCCCAATCAGCAGCGAGCCTTGCGCCTGGAAATAACGTTGCCGATGTTGCCACGTCGAGCAGCAGCGACGCACAATTTTCTCGAAAGCCAAGGATGCATTACGTCTGTCGGCGAAGCACGTCCTAGGTTCTAAAAGAGATGCTGAACCGAAATCTGCATTCCCCAAAACATGCGGCAAAAGCGTGCAACGGGATGCTACAAACACCAAAACATCACTCATACAGCGATATCTCAAACAGATGACCGTATTAAAAAAAAAGAAAAAAAAGAGGCGCATTTGGCAGGAATGTTGACGTCGTGTTTCTCCGAGGAAGAGAGGGAACGGCCTCGCGTCTTCTCCACCTCGCGGCCTTGAGGGAGCAAAGCGAAGAGAGGAGGAAACTAGGTATCTTGACGTCACGCGCCTCGTCGGCCTGGTTCAATCTCGACTTCTTTTTTCAAAAATACGGCCGTCCATTTGAGATGTCGCCTTACGAGTAGTGTTGTAGGGATTGTAGCGTCCCGCCCACATCTCCAGCATTGTTTTTTTGAAATCCAAATTTCGGTTCACTATCCCTTTAAAGGGAGACTTCGGTCAATTACACAAAAAAATTGGTTTAATGGTTGATTATACGTGTTGAGGTATAGGGTGTTGCAACTCAAGAAGGTAGGGCGAGGGAAAGGAAGGCTGGGGAGGAGGAAGCAGACAGAATGCTGAAGAGAGGAGGAGGGTCCTCTCCAACATTCCATCTGCTTCCTCCTCCCCCTTCCTTTCCCTCGCCCAACCTTTTTGAGTTGCAACACCCTATAGTAATGAACCGGTCTATACCATTTCATAAAAAAAAAAGTGCATTTTTCGTGCCACCTTCATTTAATGTTCACCACAAACTGAAACCTCGCCTGTGGAAGACAACATTGCTTCTGTGTCGTCAGCTGCGTCCTCTAACCACGTGGTACAAATCGTGACGTCACATACCAGACGGCCGGGTGCAAGTGTCGTCTGCTACGATCGGTACACTGCTACACCCAATGCCGCCTGTGCTACCGTGTCCGCAGCTTGTTTTAGTGTGAAAAGGGACAACTTTTCCCCAGTCATTGTTTTGAAAACATTAGTAGAAAGTGAAGTTCAGTAAACCACACATAGACATGTTGCGACGGACTTTTAGAAGTATGCTGAGGGCAACGTTGCCATTTGGCTCCTTTCGCAAGCAATGGACGCTGCCGGCGATGATGTATGCTCGCGCTAGAGCACACAAGCGTTCCGCAAATCATGCGACCAATGATGAGCCAGAGCTATATGTGAAGAGAGTGGTCATTTACTGGCAAGGATTTCGCAAAAATAAGGGCATATCATTGGCCGAAATTGTTTCAATCGACAGCTCTTGTGACCAACCACTAGTCATGAATATTCCCCTAGTGGAGGTAATGAGCTCAACTTATATCTTCCAATCACAATTTGTAGCTAAGGATGTTTTCAACTATTTCATTTCAGCACGCTAGAGTTTAAGTTTGCGACTCTACGTAACTGCAACGGCAACGCATGTGACACTGTCGTCCCGGCGACATTCTTCTTTTGATTGCAGTCGCAGCCACGACCGAGCGGCCAATGAAAACAGTGGACACTGCTCTGCCGGAATTTCGGCCCTAACCATGAACCCCGTGTTTGCAGTTTCACCTCTTGTTTTAGGAAACATTTCTCATCAGTGCCACCCTTTCTGGCTCATTAAACAGACTTAGCTTGTTCAAACTCCCCATTTCCATCAACCTATTACAATTATCCATTCATGTACTTTCAGCCCCATCCAGAAACAAAAAATAACTGGCACCGCACCATGCGGCTCTTTCAAGGTCATCTCAGATACTTTTACTTTGCAAGATCATCCTGGGGAAAGACGCAGCGCTGGCGGCGGCGCTGCCTTTGCCGCTCCAACCCGGCTCCTCCCACTGACCAAACCTCTCTCTCTATATATATGGCCCTGCAATGAATGTGGTTGCTTGAAAATGTAAAAACAAACAAACAAATCTTGCTGAGCACCCTAAGCATGACAGAGGTAGTGCAGGCTGTGCTGACATGGTGGTATTGACTGCGCTGTTGGCTACGCACCGCTAGGATTAGCAGATTTTGGTAATATCGGGAACCTGTATTTGTATTTTGGGCCTTAAAATACAAGTATCTCAGTATTTGTATTCCCAAAAACTTTTTGGAGTATCTCCGCCCAGCCCTGAACTGGAGTTGCCCTTTAACTTGTGACAAACTAGAGGGAGTGAAACTATGGGCCAAAAAAATTGTGCCACGGAACATGCATGCTTTAGGTTTTAGATTGAGAGCAGACGACAAGGTCACCGCTGTGTCTGTCAGGTCGTCCCGCAGACCCTGCCCCAACAATTGAAACTGCCAAGTGCAAAGCGACCGCATATTTTACGTTGCCATCGCATTATGTAAAGTAAAAAAATGCAACCCAAAATTGACATTTTTATTTCTTCAAGGTACGAAGTTAAAATGATTGCCCATTGCACAAATACTAACGGCACATATGCACAAATTTCGACTACTCTATGTGGCACATGCACTTTGATCAGTCAACACACGGATACTACGGCGCTCGCATCCATGGGCTATCTGCCAAAATCCCGAAGGGCTGCACGTGAAGCGTGCAATGAACTGTGGAAAACAAACAGTACGCTCCTCCTTGCTCCAGCAGCATCTACCACGCAACACTAGAGAAAGTCGCTCACCTACATTGGATCCAACAGCCGTTTCTGTACCAACGAGCCTTCACTATTTAACCATATTAGTCTTTCCAGAGGGGTCTCATTTTGTTTTCTTTATAGCATATAAAAACTGAAATTGTCATCAAGATGAAAAAACGGTCAAAGCTGGATGTACTATAAATTCCTATGCATCACGCATTGCTTTAAAAAACACACACACATACTTCTCCGTGACTCGAATTCCGGCTTTAGGTTTTGCAATGGAAACAGCGTATTTTAATTTATATGTTTTGTGAACATACTCTTAACTCATGATTCGTGGCAATATTTTGGAAAATTCAGATTGATTCTGTTATTCTTGTGCTTGGGAATAATGTTAAAGCAATTAATCATCTAAATACCTCCAAACCCATTAAAAGGCATGCAGTTCATTATTTTACAAGACAATTATCCGAGCAAGAAAAGGTAGCAAGAACACACAAATATCAGCACTGATTTTTCATCAAATGCAATATTCTATGTTACCTCTAAAGGGTATAAAAAGTTCTGTATTTAAGAGACACTGCACTCTCCAAAATATCTTGAACTGCCTGGATCGGAGACGTATGTCACAAAACAAATTTTCCACGAATAGCTTCTTTAGCGGAATAATTACACTCCGAGACACATCTTGAATTATGAAAGAAGATAAAATTAACACCTATACCGAGAAATTAAATAAAGAAATTAGTTTTGGTTTCGTTCCAGAATTAAGACGTTCCTCCTGGAGTAAACATTAACCTAAACACCGTTTTATTTTTCAGAATAAGAAGGTGACCTGCGGTCACAACACCCCAGCTTCCTCGTATAAGCAGGAACAATTTGTGTCGCTCAATGAAGCCAGCCAAGTAGACAGGCTCAGCAACTGGTATACTGGCACACATCTCTGACCCTCACAAAAAACCGCCATTCTGGAAAATGACTGGCACCACCTATAGACAGTTGGAGTCACGAATAACACATCAGAGCAAAGTTTATTTGCAGACAAAGCTGTCACTGTGCGACTAGGACGCAACACAATTAGCGCAAACAAACAATTGCCACTTTTCTTTCCGTAGATGTGAAAGGCTGTTATTAGAACCATTAGCACGGAGGAAAAAGACCATCCCGGGACCTTAGCGGTACAATACAGCGCTCACCAATAATAACAAGAAGAGAAAAAAGCGGCAAAGGTATGTATAGGTCCAGAAGCTTCCGGTGGGACTCACTCTGGATAGCCCTTCCACTTGAGGAAGTACTCAACGCGGCCGTGGCGCATCCGCTTGTCCAGGATCTTCTCCACCATGTACTCCTCCGAGCCAGAGGAGTCCCCGCCGCCGGGAGACTTGGACTTGCCGGACATGTCCTGAAACAAAGGGGCCGTTGGAGCGTCGTGCCACGCTCAATAATGAGCACCGCAATGGTATGGTGCCCGGGCATGTCTTGGACCAGAGAGATACTCTAGAGCAGGGGTGGCCAAGCTGACCCGGCCTAAGAGCCGCAAACAAAACCCCAAAACTTCCAAGAGCTGCGGGGAGGGGGGAAGGGAGGGGGGGGGGGGGGGATGGACAAACTTTTGTTTCGAGCAATGAACGCAACTCAAACTACTTTCAATCTATCCGATTCAAAAGCAGTCCAAATGCACGTAAGGAACCAGTGGCCACAAGGCTACCAAACCACAATTCTTTCGATTTAAACTGTGTTTCATTTCTCTTTCTTTTTTTGATGGGGGGGGGGGGGGGGGGGGGGGGGGGTGCGGGGGGCAGGGAGCCCCGAGCCGCAAGCTTGGCGACCCCTGCTCTAGGGTATGCTTGGAAATACAAATACTATATATGTGGCAAAGACAGGTTTACTACGGCTGATCGAACGCCATTTCATCAAGCACGTTTTATTGAAGCTCGGTTTAGAGAAGGCGGAGCTTCAATTTAGAGAAGCTGTGTATCAAAAATGAACGCTGTTTAAAAAGGCTTCCCTGCTCCTCGCGTGTATCACTGGGGCGCGTATATATAAATATAAATACGAGAAGTATTTGTAAAATATTATAGCGATACATTTGCGTCATAATACTGCCCACCACTGCACCAAATGCCTTTTCACTTCCGGTGCGCGCAACCAGCCACGTTGACGAACGGCGACCACATTAATTTGCACGTAGATGCTTAGCTTTTGGCGTCGTTTCCATTGTTGGTGAAACGCTCAAGCACGGCGAGTCGCTCCATTTACGACAGATCTCGGTAAGTATGACCGGGGACGTATTTGGGCCACGCAATCCCATGCATCCTCCGCCTTTTTTCATTTCGGGGTCGCACCGGCTGCGACCACCCGGGTCATTTTGGTCGCTGAGGGGTCAACTTCTCTACCGCCGGCTCGTCTCGAGTCCAAATAAAAGGCGAAAAGTTTAAAAACTGGGCGCCACTCTCTTTTGTGTTAACTACTCTGACTTGGGCAGTCAATCACGACGCAGAAGAATTGGAGCGAGCTGGGAAACACTATTCCCGTGCGTGGGGAGAGGGTGAAAGTTGGTCAACATGGTGTCCGGCGAAATTTTAAACCAGGAACGTGTAACGCGAAACCACCTCCTACTGCCTGTGCATCGAAAGTGGTCACGAATTGGCAAGAGCTGACGTCACGGGAGCCAGCATGTTATGTTGTCGGACGTCGTTATAGTGGCTGGTTGCAGAACTTTCGGCGAAAACCACGAGTGAGCACGAGCCACAGCACGACAGTTGCATGCCTTATCCACCTCTGTTGCACCATTGCCATCAGGATCGTAACAGGCAACAGCATTACACCTTTTCAACGTCGCGAGGCGGAAATCGAGAGACCACGTTCGAGGACACACTAAATACACCAAACGGAGACTGGATCGAGGCACCTCGTGAAACTGACAACTAGACCGCGACGGCGCATTAACCGGATTGGACGACATCCGACTCCAATGGGTCCTGGGCGAGGGGCTAGCACTCCCGTTCTGAGATCGAAACGTGGGCTTCTAGACGCGAAACTGACCCAGTCAGGATGGTAATGATAAAGCAGATTGAAAACTCAACCCCGATGTTTTGGCGACAAAGCAATAACTTCCTAGCGTTCAGAGGTTTAGGGTCGTCGGCCTGAGTTACCCTTTGGAACAAAGACGCAACATGTGAGCATTTAGGCCAAAAGGTGCAAAAGCCTAACCAATGTAAAAAGCAAACTCCCTGCAGAGATAAGCCTCTGCAATGCCACCAGACATTTAACCTTTCCACTTCCATGCTAGGGTATACTCGTTACACGATTTTTGTTTTCTCTCTGCCACTCCCGGCTCAACTTGGGCTCGCATAATTTTTTTTACTCTGTGCCGCAACAGCTACCATTAACTCTTTCGATTTACCAGCATCAGCCTACACCGATGCAGAAAAGTGTGGGACAGTCTCCTTCCAGCATGTGTTCAAAGACAGGCCGCACTCATAAATCGGATACGAAGGTGTGGAGCTAGTGCAGTTAAAGCAAAATCAAGCAGACACAAAGCAAGCCTACTTGTGGGCGTTCCTCAGGCAGGGGAGGGTGGCCACCGCAGCTCATTAGCAAATAACGAATGAAGGCGGCAATGCGGCACGTGTCAGCGCAAACCTCGTTCGGCAGGTCCCAGCGACGAATGCAGCGTTTTGTTTTATGGTACTACCCTTTGGCGGGACATAGGAAATATCTGTTGAGGTGACAGCTGTCTCTGTCTGTCTCCATTCCAAAATGGCGTACCTATGCGGTGTGACCTCACACCTCATGGCAGAGATGAAGAAATATTTATGCTCCAACGATTATGAAAACAAGCAGGTCAGATGAAAAAAAAAAAAAAAAAGGAAGACGTCCAACCAAGCCCTAATTGGGACTATGCTTCGATGCCTACTGGGCTCTTCTGGGCACTGCTCCTCAACTGCCGATGGCAGTTGAGGAGCAGTGCTTCTGTTTTCATCTTTTTTTATGACTGTAAAGGACAACGAAAACTAAAACACTGCCTCAACGGCCATCGCCACAGTCACCCTCGAAAGAAGGAGCCGAGTAGGCATCGAAACATAGGGTTTCAAAGTAAGGCTTGGTTGGATGTCTCCCATTTTTTTATTATTCCGCCCAACCAGACTGATCTCAGTCAAATGTTCACGCTCAAGCAAATTAGAGTTCCGGATCAAAATGATGGCTAGTCGTTGCTGCAAGAAAAGAATGTTTAAAAAGAGCAGCCTCAGCATGCGAGGTGGCACTTTGCGTAGTGCCATACAAGAAATAATGTCCAGGTTGGAGGCACGCACGTTCAAGGCATCAACTAACACCAGACGTGCGTGCACATGAATATACTAAAACCGAAATTCACGTTTGGGAAGTGAAAAAAAAAAAAAAAAATTACGCAAGGTGCGTGTTTTAGAGTCCCACATACAAAAGGGAAAATCCTCCTTGCCATTTCCCCCTCTCCCACTGCTACCTTGACAGGGTAGGGGGGACACTTCTGTTGCTGCATTTAGGGGGTGGATACACCTGGATAAGATCCTGGCTTTTTTAGCCCAAGATGCATCAACGAAGAGTCCCCCACCATATAGTAGTGGGAGAGGGGGAAACAGGAAAGGTGGCAAGGAGGATTTTCTCCCCTGTGGAAAAGCTTCTTGTAGGTCCGGCTTTAGGAAAAAATTCCTGGCAATCGAGTAATTAAGGTACATATACGATAAAATAACAATGTTTGCACAAACTGCATACTTCAAGAGAACTACTGCTAAATTACCCAAGCATCAAGAAGAATGCTGGGGATGTAGGTCTAGATACTGCATGTTCTGGCATCCGCAGCAGTAACTGTTCTAAAGCAAAAGTCTGAAACAGATGGCACCTTGCATGCACTTTCATAAATGCACTATTTTGTTCATTTACCAAATTTTTATCTGGGAAAGGCAAGCACACTCCTACACACAATCCCAGCATTCTCACCGATGCTTGGTTAATTTAGCAATAGGTCCATTACCCTGGTATACTGCTTATTGAAAGATAATAACGCAAGGCAATAAAAGTTTTAGACGTTTGCACTGCAGCATGCATAAAATGCATGCATTTTTTATTAGGAGTTCTATATTTCTATACACCAACTCATGTTTACAAACAAACCGGAGCGCCCCTAGCGGACGCCACCGGAACGCCCCTAGCGGACGCCACCGGAGCGCCCCTAGCAGACGCCACCGTTGCCGCGCAAGCGCAAGTGTGGGCAAGAAGCTCGCCATCGCCCATAAACAAACCATTGAAATGCAATGTTGTCGGCGTCGGTGTAAGTCCCCCTGCCCTTTTTCGCGTTCGAATTGTAGATTCTACATCCTTATGGCAATGTCTGATTACTTAAGCGGGCTCAGCGAAATTACTGAGGCTCGTTACACCACAAAGTGAGGTTTTGCACAAGTTCTAAAATGAGGCACACTTTGGCAGGTTCACCTGCTTCATCCTTGCTGAATCAATGTACTTTTTCCCATCCGTCCAAAGAAGAAGGGCTCGCTCGATTGCGGGGATGTTTTCAATCCAGCAATGGGCAACAAACTTCAGGGGAAATATTGTTTGGCCAGTCACTGCAGAGAAGTCTTCTCGCCTTGCTGGGGAATCTTGAAATAGTGCTTCACAATTGACAAGAGAGTGTCCACTTCCGATTCGCTGGCTCTTGCATCCACCCTCTAAGCACTGTGTACAACGTGTACTGTGTACAATCCAGACACTGCACCCGATAGTTCTGTGCTACTGCAGGCCCCCGAAGAGCTTCAAGTTCACATTCGGTCCGTCCATGGACACTTGGAACAATCTTTGCCAAAGGTAATTGCTCCAGTGCACTCAGGAGTTTCTCTGGGATGTCATCTGCTGTTGCGTGACCCATGTATACGGACGTGTAGTACCTTGTGGCCACCCGTTGTGATGAGTCCCAGTGTCTGACATGAACGTCCATTTGCTTCTGACACAAGTAATCATTTACGGACATGTCAAACAGGATGACGTAATAATTGCAGTTCTAAATGTCCCGTTGCATGAATGATAAAAAAAAAATGGCCCAAGGCCCATGGCACACCACATACGCCTCTCACCAGCCGAAAGCCTTCACAACTTCACACTCCAAGAACATCCTCTTGAACAGGTTGTTTGTTTCCGAGGGCGAGTTGTATGAGTAGTGAGACATAATCCCCTTCAACATCCACAAAATGTCTGCATCCGTCAGTCCGACAATTGTGTTGGGACCGCGGGGAGTGATCGGCCACTCAAGCACGGCGTCATGTAGTTCCTCATGGACCTAGCTGCTGCTGCCGTCTTTATGTTCCCACCTGCTCTGCACTCTTAATTTTGCTTTTTAGTACGAACTTGCCCACTGACGAGATGTCAAAT